AAGAATATGCGTGGCTAACCGCTGTTATTTTGGCCTGGGCCCTCAACTAAGAGTGAGAAGTATGTCAATAGCAACAAAGTGCAAACTTTATAAAACAATAATACGCCCAGTGCTCACATACGGATCGGAAACATGGGCAATGACGACCCAGATGAAGAGTTACTACGAGTCTTTGAAAGTACAGTATTGAGGACCATATATGGCGGAGTAAACGAACAGGGTCTGTGGAGAAGTTGATATAGCTTTGAACTCTAGACTTTTTGGCGATGCAGATATTGTGAAGACCATCAAAATAAACCGCCTAAGGTGGGTGGGCTACGTTATGCGGATGGATGAGAGTGATCCCACTAAAATAACTATGCTAAACAGGCCGGTCGGAAGAAGAAGAAGGGGGCAACCTAAACTCAGATATCTGGACGATGTACAGGAAGATCTGAGGGAGATTAGAGTGAGGGGCTGGAGAAGGCAGACGGTCGATAGGGAAGGATGGAAGAATGTTTTGAAGCAGGCCAAGGCTCACGAAGGGCTGTAGCGCCAACTGATGATGTAAAAAAATGTTTTTGTCAACATTATGTAGGTGAATGGATGGTTAAAGAATGTGCTAGAAAAGATAGTGGAATGAATGTGCCTGAAGTAAACGTTCGGAGAGCTCGTAGAAATAGGAGAAGTACAGATGAATCAAGACACATACTGCAAAAGTTTTTGTCAGAAATCCCTAAAAAGGAGTCCCATTACTGCTGTTCTAGTTCAAATAAGTTCTACTTAGAGCCTGTATTCCGAAACAAAGCTGAATTTTATAGAGAGTACAAAAACTACTCTCAACATATAAATACAAATTGTCTTTCTAAAACAATTTTTTTTAGAAGAAATGAACAAATCTAATATAAAAATCTACAAGTCATGAAAAGACCAATGCGATTTGTGCATTTCCTACAGATTGGGAAATATTTCAGATGAAGAGTACATGAAACATAAAAAAAGAACAAGCAAGACGTTTGAAAATGGAAGATAAAGAGAAAGCTATTAGTCACCCCAAAGAAATCGCGGTTTTTTGTATAGGTGTACAAGATCTAAAGTTGTCTCCTGTTTTGCAAGCCAGTACCATCTATTATAAGACAAAACTTAGTGTTCATAATTATACTGTCTACAATATGGCTAGTAAAGATGTAATCTGTTACCTCTGGGATAAAACCCACGGTGGTCTTGAAGGTAATATTTTCGCCACTCTCCTTACAAAGTTCCTCTCCAATTACCTTTCAAAAAATAAATCAACACAAGAATTTATCATATACAGTGATATTTGTGGGTATCAAAACAAAAATTTAATACTTTCAATTTCTCTTCTTCAATTTTGTATGGAAAACAACGTTCATATTACTAAGAATTATCTCCACAATGGTCATACCTAGATGGAAGTCGACTCGGTCCATAGCACAATTGAAAGACGGCTAAAAATTCGTAATATTTATGCACCTTATGATTACATTGCTGTTTGCAAAGAAGCAAGAAGAGCACAGCCTTACAATATTAAATACATGAACTTTTCTGACTTTAAAGAAATTCAATTTTATTCATCTATAAGACCTGGTCGTACAATTGGAGATCCTCTAGTTAGTGATGTTTGTTCTTTTAAGTACTCTTCATTTGACCAAATATTCTACAAAATTAACCATACAGATAATTATGAATTGTTGCCTAAAAGATCGACCTCCAAAAACAAAAAAAGTGTTATTCCTCCATTATACGATTTGTAAAATCATCATTGTTTCTATAACATCGATGTTTTCTTTCGATATAATTATGGTTACTATCGATGTTCAGATTCGATGTTTTTTACCGATAAAGCATCCCTACTGTATGCCAGTGCGGGTTTAACAAACGTCATTTCATTTTTTTATAACAATCAAGAACGACTGAATCGATTTGGCTAATTTTGATTTTAAAATATTTGTATAAAATAAAATCAAATCGAACCGAATAAATTAAAATAAATAAATTAATTAAAAACCGTTCAGGGCATAGACGATAAGAAAGCTATGCTTTCCCTCCTCGGTCACTCCCAGAGTGCCATATCCATTTTCTTTCCAGTTTTTTTTTAATCCATTATACTGAAATATGATAGTAAAAATGAAGAAATTAAACATAAATAAAAGATAATAATAATCCTAAACTAGATAAATTAAATCTAGTCTATATATAATAACATAAGTTAATAACAAATAAAATACAGTTATATGATTCCCTTAGAAACAGAAAACTGAAATGATACTAATTATAATTATTATTATATATTCCTTTATGGTACTAGAAAATTTATATTTTCGCAATAAACAATATATTTGAAAAGTGTGGCAAAACATTGGTTCAAAAAGTATGCACGACGCATACGCACATCATTGACAGCAGATAGAATGGTGAATGCACTTTGAAATTTATGTCAAAATATCAGCTTTTTGAATGAAAAATACGGAAAAACTTAAGCTCAGTACGAAAAAATGTATAGATTGTAAAGTGAATAAAAAGTAAACCACAATCCACTGTTCAAATTTCAGACTAATCCGGTTAACCTTACTAATATAATTACCCTGTTTTCTTTACGAGTCTCACCTGAGTCATTTTCGTCTGTTTCCGTTTTAATATCTTCAATATCTACTTCTCTGGATAACTCATTCTGAATGTATCTTATGTCTGTACTACTTAATCGATCATCATATTCCTCAACTTCTTCCTTAATTTCAACCTTAATACCACTTACATTGTCTTGCGCCAACTCCAGTTGCTCGAAAGAAACCATGTCTGTAGACTCCATAACCTTATATGGGATTAAAAACTACCAGAAAAATAAATTAAAAATTGAAAATAATCAAAATACGAGAATCAGGTGTTCAAACTGTTTTTTGTAAAATTGTAAATGTCAAAACATTGGGTGCGTTTAGACCGAGCACACCAGCAACGAGCAGTGACGACATCTCTTGCGGTTGTTTGTCTCTTTTTAATGCATTAAAAACTCTTCACTCTCTCTCTTTCGACCAAATCGAGATGCTACTAAACTTCTTGATGTAAGATAGAGACACAACGAACAACAGAGTGTGTGCTGTTGGTTTCTTTTGACTGTGGTTGTTCGGTGACACAGATAACTACAAAAAACGTCCACAAAAGGAAATGTTTGCGTTTGGCAGTGTTGTCATGTCCTTGTAATGTATAGGTTGTATTGAATACTTTAATTGTGCAGAGAGAAAGCACAGAATAAACAATCAGAAGGGCAACTCTCAGATGCCGCCTTTGAAGTTTTTCAGCACGCGCGCCATGTTTTAGGAGGACACAGACATATGATTTGTGTGGTTATGTAATTGTTTATATTTATGTTTAATTATATTATATTTATGTTATTATATTCAACAATGTTAATATAATTGTATAGTATGTCTACATTGAGTTAGTATGGATATACTAATAGTTTTCAGTATATACTAACTCAATGTATGTCTATGATTGCCGTAAGTCAAATAAACCTGGTTAATGGACCACAGGAGTGATGACGTAGATTTGATTGACATCTGTCAGTTTCACTTTCCAAACAACCTTTGTTTAGTGTGGATAATTTGTATTTTTCGTTATTTTTTCATTTATTTTATAGAATCTTTCCGCTTTTTGCAATATTTAAGTATTCTAATAGTTACTACAACAATTTTACAAGGTTGTGTAAATAATAAAGCACATTGTTTTACGATAATAGGAATAAAATGCAAGTATCAATAAAGTAAGGTTAAAATTTCTTTAATTAAACTTTTAAACCATATTTCATAGAAATAGAACTGTGAATTATGATGGTATTATCGTAAAAAACAATATACTCACAAGAAAAAGCAGCAGAGGAAGCAAAATGTTAACTTTATAGGAATTAAAAAGTCTTGAGATTTGACATTTCAACGTTTGTTTGGAAAGTAATAATAGTCGTGACGTCACACTCCTGCGGTCCATTTCTCCATGCACACCACATAAACAACACTAATTTCTTTAAAATCCTCCTAAAACATGGCAGAACGTCTGCGCGGAGGAGATGCGCGTACTTAATTTTCCGTGGAGAGTGGGTATTCTGTTTGTTTATTATTCTGTGGAGAAAGCTTTGAAAAAGAACATTTTTATTATATTATGGATTATACAATTTTTTAATTTATGTAAAATACGAACGTATAAATATGTGGGACGATTTTCACATTTATAATAATTGTAATATTTGTTTCGTTTGATATTAGTTGTAACAAATTATCAGAAAATTTTTATATTTAAATATTCGTTTGTAATGTAAATTTCAACACTCCGAAACACCAATATTTCATTCTGTCAAACCCATTTGAAGCTAGGTATCTTCAATGGGACCAAATGTGAAAATCGTCCAAATATGTGTTTCTGTCGATATTAATTGCAGTTAGTCATTAAGAAAAATTTCCTACCGTGATCACAGAATAATAAAGCAATTGTTGTTTATTATGTGCCACAGTCTGGCTCTATAATCCCAAGAAGCGAAAAGGTTGTTCTCCCAAGTTGCAGCAGTTTTGGGAAGGTCCATACCTCATTATGGAAAAGATCAACGATATCATATACTGAATAAGCAAGATTCCGAGGGGAAAGCCGATGATAGTACACCATAACCGACTGGCGTCCTTCGAAAGTGACCACGATGTAGATGAAGAAGTGGAAGTAAACCATGTCCAAGATGTGTTTGATGTGATGTATCAAACACGCACCAGGGTTGGCATCCGTCTTTCGAAGGAAGTTCGGTCGAGTTGCAAAACTTCAATGCCAAGTGCCAGCTCCCGGGAAAGCCTTGAAACCAAGTTGCATCACGTTACCTTTTCTACCTGGTAACAAAAGACATTGCCCGTGACCAACCTACCTACCGAGTTGTATGGGAAGCCTTACTTCAATTGAGAGAGCACGTACTAGAGTCCGACGTGCAAAAGTTAGCCATGCCAAAGGTGGAGTGCCGCCAATTAGATTGGATAGTTATCCGAAGTATGGTGGAGCAGATCTTTAAAGACACCGAAGTCCAGGTGTTAGTCTGTTGCAATCCGCATAGTTACTGGTGAGGAGAGAAAACCGTCCTTTGTCATTTTTATACAACTGGAAGTTGTAAAAGATGGTTCAGTTGCCAATACCAGCATACCGTTCCAGTTCCAGTCCGACAAGGTTCCAGGAGGAACCATCTTTTAAGAGGGGGGCAATGTTACGATAAATATGACTCATAAAACTGTAAACGTAATATTTCCAATAAGTATTTTCTAGTAGGTTCCCCTACGTTAAAAACCTGTCTTTTTTCCATGCTGTTCGAGAGAGATCAACGGTCGCCGGCCGAATTCTACGAAACTCTGGATTAACGGCTATTTTATATATAAAGAGGAAATTTTATTGTAAACAGTTTAGTTTTCGTCGAAATATAATGTAACGAGTTTGAATTATTGTAACGCGGAAATGTAGTATATAAATTAGAATCGGTAAAGAGTGTAAATCAATTATTGTAAATGTTAGAAGATTTTATAATACATAAAGTTAATAAATTAGATTAATAAACTCAGTTCATTACATAAATGTTTTTATATTTGAAATATTTGGTTTGATTTACATTGAATTGTATCTAACTTTATTAGTACATGAAATGATATGTCGGATGAGTAGATCGATAAACGTCCATATCATCCTCAAATCCTACATAGAAAACGTGCATATCATCGTCAAATTCATAGAAATCGTTCATATCATCTAAATCATATTGCTCTCCATCTATTTTTCTTTTGTTCCAAGTTTTTTTAGGCGAGGTTTCTCTTCAATACTGTACTTCGTATATGTGAGATTTGGACTAATGGTTTCAACATTTAGGCAAAGATTTTTCCACTTCGTCTTGTTTAATTGACTAACTACCCTTGCTGAATCACCGTGACATTTAAATATGACATATGCGAATATTTTCTGATTATAGTAATCCTCACCCATATAAATCTTTTCGATTTTGGTTATTGAAGGGACAACTATCTGTATATGTTGTTTGAGTTCATCTGGGGTTGTGCCTTTGGGTAAATTTACAAAACGAGCGCATCTTGAGCAGTCAACCATTTTCTAATTAAATAAAATCACACAAATTAATCTTACAAATAGCATTTTTTAAAATAATGAACAACAAAGTGTAGATTTGTTAAACTGTTTGTTCGGGTTGTTGGGCCGTTGTCTTCTAAGATTAGTTCTCTTCCCAAAGCGTGTTCGGCAACGGCATAAAAGCTGAAGAAATAAAGACAGAATAAGCGAGAATTTTGCACAAAGCTAAGACACCGAAAAATAACCTGAGTCACCAAGAAATCCGTGCCATAAAATCATTAAACGCAGACAAAGATGTAATTTTACCAGCAGACAAGGGAAACGCCACCGTCGTAATAAAGACAACCCACTACAAAACCAAAAAACAAAATCTTCTAGATCGTGAGATATATAAGACTTAAAAAAGATCCCACAGTTAGTAGTCACCCTACGGAAAATCAATACACTTAATCACACATCACAAAATTAATATATTATAATTAATTTTGGTTAAATATCAGAAACATTTGAGTATTTACTGATTACAAAATTAAAAAATGTTAAAACTGCTCTTCTTAAAAAGTAAGAAAATGGACATAGTGTCCTTTATTTCCGAGGTACGGATATGGACAAAGTAAGAACAATAATAAAACCAACAAATGACAGTAATAATTATTATTTATTATAATAAATCTAACATAAATCTCGAGTATATTAAATTGTTTTGACAACACAAATTCTTCATCACATTGGAGTATTACACTAGAACAGAAATATGCTTTAATGTCCTTGAAAATTGTACAATTTTATAAATAAATCTAAAAAACAGTGGAAATACAAAACAATAACAAATATAATTTACTAAAATTACATAGATTGTCAATATATAAATTAAAAAAAATTAGTAAAACAAAAACAATATATTGCAAAATTTATATAAATTATTCACATTACCTTGAAATAACTAGAGTTGAGGGAACAAAAATGAATTATACACTAAAACTGTCTATTAAAAACTAAAATAATCTATATACTAAAAATGTCAATTAAAAACTAAAATAGGAAACATTTACTTGACGTGAGTACACAATAAAAACGTAATAAATTTATATTGTATACAACAAAGTGGCACAAACACCCAAACACATGCGAAATACAACCTATAAACGTGTTATAAACACAACTGTCCAACCATGATACTATAACAATATTGTTTTGTTAAGGTCGATTCAGACACATCAGTCCCGTCACAGTCTCGGCGTCGAACCGGTCCTGTTTGCTCACAGAACTATTAATTATCTGACAGCTGGGAAACTGTTCGTCGCCTGATGAATGTGAATGCCGGCGCCATATTTCTATTAAAGAATATTTTGTATGACGGATTGTTCGGTTCGGCGCCAGGACTGTGACGAGACGTGACTGATGTGTCTGAATCGACCCTTATAGTATCATGCTGTCCAACTTGAAACTCAATATTCTTCTTTATTTTTTACTTAGCCTTCTACCACATAATAATAATATCAAAGAATATAGACTCTATATTCTTTCATAATATACTAGCGATCCAGTTGAAATAAGCGTCAGGCGCCATCTCTTTTTTTGGAAGCCTACTATATATATGTAACCATTTTTTTTCCATTGAGTTCGCAGGGCAGGGCAGGTTTCAGCTTACAAGCGAAGCAGTAACATCTTCAGAATATGTCAACACCTAGTGTTGGCGAAATGTCGAGAACTAATCTCAGAAGACAACGGCCTAACAGCCCGAACAAACAGTTTAACAAGTTAAACGATGGCCGTGAAAGTCTAACTTATTTTAAAA